GTATGCTTGTATCAGAAAGCTGAAATTGAAAGGCAGGTAGCCCACAATGCTCTGTTCCGATCTCATCCGCCCCAGTACCAATGCATTCTCATCACCAGTTCTCTTAGTAAAAAAAAGATGGTACATGGCGTTTTTGTACTAATTACGGGCGCTTAACACAGTTACCATCAGAGACCAGTTTCCCATTCCTATAATAGAAGACATGTTAGATGAGTTGCATGGAGCAGCTTATTTCACAAAGTTAGATTTAACAGTGGGATACCATCATATTCGTGTGTATAGCCCGGACATCCACAAGACAACCTTTCGGACACACAACAAACACTACGAATACTTGGTAATGCCTTTTGGATTATGTAATGCACCTTCTATATTTCAAGCAGTTATGAATTCTATTTTTTGGCCTTATCTGCGTAATTTTGTACTGATATTTTTTTATGACATCCTAGTCTACAGTTCTAACTGGCACTCATATTTAACACACATCCGACAAGTGTTTGAAATTTTGAGACAGCACAAGTTCTTCATCAAACTCAGGAAATGTGTGTTCAGCTAGCAAGAATTAGAATACTTGGGACACATTATCACACCGCAAGGGATCAAGGTAGATCACACAAGATTCAAGTCATACTTGACTGGCCCACACCCAACAATGTGACAGAACTAAGAGGGTTTCTAGGTCTGATAGGCTACTACAGAAAATTTGTGCAGAACTATGGGCTTATTGCAAGACCCTTGACTCAATTGTTCAAGAAGGGCAGTTTAACTAGAATTCAGAGGCTGAAGAGTCCTTCAACATACTAAAGCAAGCAATGACTTCCACTCCCACATTGGCTCTTCCCAACTTTAACGAGCTCTTCACTATTGAGACCGATGTCTCAAATAATAGAATAGGTGTCATCCTCTCACAACAAGGGAAGCCAATAGCCTATCTTAGTCAAGCTCTGAGGTGTCCAAACAGGCTTGGTCAATTTATGGCAAGGAAATGTTAATCGTCGTTATCGCAGTCCAAACTTGGCGACCATACCTATTGGGTCACAAATTTTTCATCCAGATAGACCAACGCAGTCTCAAGTACTTGCTCGAGCAGCGTATCACAACACCAGAACAACAAAAATGGGTTTCCAAGTTGTTTGGGTATGATTATGAAATTACATACAAGTCAGAGAAAGAAAATGCAGTACAGGACCAACACTAAGTGTCTTATTTGTTCAGCAAACGCAATTATGAGATGACTTTAAAAAGAAAATCTAGACACACCCTTACAGGCAGAAAATCAATTACCTCGACGATAAATAGTCTGGACAACCTTACAACTGAAAAAACGGATTATTCTTTTACAAGCATTGTGTAATTATTCCTCTTGGGTCCTACTTGGTACACCAACTCTTGCAGGCATACCATGACTCACTCATAGGAGGCCACTCTGGAGTACTACGAACCTATAAAAGATTTGCACAACAATTCTACTAGCCTTCAATGAGAAAGACCGTGCATGAGTATGTTTCGGCCTACGAAACATGCCAACAAGTCAAGTCCAAGACTCTCTCTCCAGCTGGCGTGCTCCAACTATTGTCAATCCTTTGTCAAGTATGGGACGACATCACAATGGATTTCATTAAAGGGCTCCCTTCCTCCAACGGCAAAAACACCCTCCTAATAGTTGTTGCCCGTTTAAGCAAATATGTTCATTTTCTCGCTTTGGCTCACCCTTATACAGCAAAAACAGTGGTCGAGCTATTCATTGACGGAAAAGTCAAGCTCTATGGTATGTCATGTTCCATTGTAAGTGACTGAGACCACATATTCATGAGTAATTTCTAGAAATAATTTTTCAAGATGTCAGACACACAATTGAAAATGAGTTTTGCATATCATCCTCAAACCGATGGTCAATCTAAGGTGGTCAATCAATGTGTCGAACAGTATCTACGCTGTCTAGCTCATCAGCGACCAAACAAATAGTTTTCCATGCTTCCATGAG